GGTCCAAGGAGTTGCTCAGGATGCAAGCCAGACCCTACTGTATTCAGTCCCTCAGAGTGAATCCTCACAAACGGGAATAGGGCATTTTTACACACTCCCTCCCATCCCAAAAGTGACACCTGATCTGCAAGACAGGTTTTGGTCTTTTGGAACCTCTTTTTCTTGCTTCCAAAAAGCGGGGACAAGGATGTGAAGAGGACAGTCATGATCAGTTGGGTGGGGTGGGAGAATGCACTCTGCACATGCCCTGGTGCAGGTGTGCATAATTTTTATGATGGCCGGAATTGGGAGGAGGTTCTACAAAAGTGAGTGTAGTCTGCCTGAACTAAGGACAACAGCTGCACCTGCACTGCAGAAAGAATCCGTCTTGACACCACTTTAACTGCCATGGCTCAATGCTATGGAGTTCTGGGAATGGTAATTTGTTGTGGCACCAGAGCAGAGCTATTAAACAGAGGCTGGATGGCCATCTGTTGGGTATGCTTTGATTGAGAGTTTCTGCATGGCAGGGGGTTGGACTGGATGGCCCTTGTGGCCTCTTCCAGCTCTATGATTCTACCATTCCTAGAATTCCATAGCATTGAGCCATGACAGTTAAAGTGGTGTCAAAACGGATTCTTTCTGCAGTGTGGGGGCAGCCTATAACTACATCTTGACCAAATGCAGGTTTATGACTAACATCATCCATTTTTTTCCCTCTCTCTCTCTTTCTTCTCTTTTTTTAAACACCCTCACCTGATGAAGAAGCCAGTGGAGCTTCGAAAGCTTGCAACATGTATAATGTGGATTTGGGATGATAGTGTCCTTTGTTATATGGGCAACCCTGGATGTATCCTCTGCCTTCGCCTGATGAACAAGCCAGTAGAGCTCTGAAAGCTTGCAACAGGTATAATGTGGATTTGGGATGATAATGTTGTTTGCTATATGGACAACCCTGGAAACATCCTCTGCCTTCGACTGCTGAAGAAGCCAGTGGAGCTTCGAAAGCTTGCAACATCTATAATGTGGATTTGGGATGATAGTGTACTTTGTTATATGGGCAGCCCTGGATATATCCTCCGCCTTTGACTGCTGAAGAAGCCAGTGGAGCTCTGAAAGCTTGCAACATCTATAATGTGGATTTGGGATGATAGTGTCCTTTGCTCTATGGGCAACCCTGGATCCATCCTCTGCCTTGGCAAACCTGGAGGGCTCCCTAAGGCAGCTAAAAGCCCCCACTTGGAAAGGGGCGACGGAGGAGAAAAGGGGAGCCTGGGCTGCGCTATTCTCAAGGGAAGCTGGAGGGGAGTTGCTCCGCTCGGCTGGCCCCTCTGTGCCGCGACCGAAGCGCCGTGTGGACAGGGAGCCTCCTGCCGTCCCCAGAAGGAACTGGCAGGCAGGGAACGGCCGACCAAGGAAAGGACTCGGAGATGTCCTCCCCGCAAAGGAGGACCAAAGGAGGACATGCCTGGGAAATGGAGGACAGAACTCTCATCCTCGGTCCAAGACCGCACTGCAGAAATAATCCAGTCTGAGACCGCTCGAACTGCCCTGGCTCAGTTCTAGGGGATCTGGGGAGTTGTATTTTATTGTGGCCCCAGAGCTCTCTGACAGAGAAGGCTCGATCGATGGCTCACAAAAGCACCGTTCCCAGAATTCCCCACCACAGACCCAGGGCAATTCGAGCGGTCTCAAACGGGATTGTTTCTGCAGTGCGGTTTTGGAGCATAGAAATGGAAAGGCGTGCTCCTTAGCCCTGCTCCAAGTGGAGGGCCTTTTGGAATTCCTCCTGGGCAGAAAGGTTGGAATGGAGGGCATGTCCGGGGAAAGGAGGACCTCTGATCCCCCCTGGCTGGGAGTGGAGGGGCTTCACAAGGGGGAGGGGAATCTATGGGGGAGGGGATCCACTAACTTCCCCCCCAAAAAAAATGGAGGGAGGGAAGGGTCAGACTCGAAGCAGGGGTAGGCAACCTTTCCCCTTTAAGGGCCGAGGGACTTCAGCTCCCAGAAGCCTCAGCCATGTTGGCCAATAGTCCCATGTTGGCCAATAGCGCCTGGGATTCTGGGAGCTGAAGTCCCTCGGCCCTTAAAGGGGAAAGGTTGCCTATCCCTGGAAAAACCCTGAATTTCTCAATGGGGAATTGGAAGAAGGGATGGGAAAGGTTGGGGGCGAGGAGGGGGCCCAAATGAGGCTCTAGGTCGGGCTTAAAGGTCCAGCCTGCCCTGCATCTCCTGGCTGGGGTTATCAATGGTCCCTAGAAA